ACTATTAAAGATATATCACATAACTATTGAGACATATGTTACAATCTTCTTACTTTTAAGAGATTAAGTTGAAAGCAACTTACAACTAGATGCTTAGACTACAAACTTTGTAGCTCCAAAGAAGCTTCTACAAGATCTTCTTTGTAGCTAGTATATATAGAGATGAGACTAAAGTCATTATTAGTCCTTTCAACACCTTTCTTACATTTCTAGTCTTATATTTGAAAATAGTCATTTGTTAGTTGTATATAACTTTGTTTCTTTCTATTTGAAAATAATTATTTTAGTTTTATTTTATTTTATAACTATCACTTATTTTTATACTTATTTCTTTTTTTAGTAATACATAAGTATAATGTCTTTAGCTTTTGTTATAGCAAAAATCTTTGACACATACAAGGTAAATATATCTTAACATGAAAAATAATTATTATAAAGTAATTAAACTTAGAAAACATATTATTTTATATATGAACTAAAACAAAACTTATAAAAAAATAAAGACATTTACAACTAACAAAATTAAGTAAACAAACAAAAAGAAAGTATTCTAAAGAAATAAAAGTCACTTGAATTGCTATGACTAAGTACAAAAGAGTAGAATGTCTTGAATAAAAATTAAAATACAAAAAAGACAATAACAAAATTATAGATTGTAGTTTTGCCTCTACATATACTAAGTAGTTTAAAGGCAATAAAATTCTTAAAAATCACAATACTTGTGGAGTAATTATCTTAGTTGGATGATATTTCTACAATAGGACACTTCTTGGAAAAATAATTATAGCCATATATTAAAATTATAAATCCAATTTATATCTAAAAACATCTTATAATATTTTTTAAATAATATTTATCAATCTGAGTTATTTATAGATAATTTTATTTATTTTTACTTATTTAAAACATAAATAATTATAAATATATTAAATCTTCTAAAATATTATGATATTAATTTATATGTGACTAAAATATAAAAATAATATTTTAATTAAGATCTAATAATATATATATATATATATATATTTTAAATTAATTTTTTTAGAAAAAACTAAAAAAAATATTTAAAATATTTTATTGCATATCTTTGTAAACTTTGGATAAATTATTTAAAATAATATCTATTATACTAGAACCAATTTACTAACTATTATCAAAGTTGTAATATGACATGCAAAAAATTGATTTATTTTTATATAAAAAAAAAATTCTTGTTTAAAAATTATAATTTAAAACTAATATAATTATGTTTTGATATACGTATATTCCTATACTATCAAGTACAAAGAGAAAAAAAAAATGTAATTCTGATTTTTCATGATTATTTCATTCATTCTATTTTTTAACCAATTTTTTAGTATAAATTTTTTTGATGTTACTAGTTTCTTAAATCAAACTAATTACAATTTCAACTCAATAATTTAATTTCTCTACATTTTTTTAATAGATTCAAATATATATGGATAGATATTTATCAATTATCATAACTAAGATTGATATATTATCCCTTAATGAAACTTTGTTGTACAAAATTTTCGATGTCAATGCCACTACGTGTGAGAAAGAAAGAATATATATATATATATATATATATATATTTATATATATATATATCCATTATATTTTTATATTTTCATCTAATTATTCCTTCGACCCAGTTATACTTTTCATTGATCTAATCATTGAATGGTAGAAAAGTTTCCAGTAAATAGATCTATGTCTATGGGATGTCATATACATTCATTAATGCAATATTGCTCTTTAGATAAGCAGTCATTAGATCAGATTTTATTTTGTATGGCCGTGGAAGAGCATCCTTGCAACATCTCATATATATTTAAATTTATTATATTTAAAACTTAAAATCAAACCTCATTTTGTTTTAATTTAAAAAAAAAAAATCAGTGATGAACACCATATTTTTTGAAATATTCATCATTAATTTCTATCTGCATAAAAACGATAAATTCAATTTAAAAAGTTTGTATTGAATGGATTATGACAAGTGTGATTTTCGAAACTGAATAATCAAAATCTATATTGTGCATATATATATATATATATATACTTAAATCAATACTATTACAATGTGTTCTGAGGTTTGAAGATCGATTACTAACAAAATGACTTTAATAGAATCTTTAATGTTAATGAAATATTTTTTAATAGTGGAATGAAAATGACGAAACTTTCTTTCTTCCTTCCGGATCAGTAAAGTTATTGAATGTTTTTAATATTTGACTTTTCTACAACAGATTTAGTTATGTGATTAAACTACTTCATGATTAATACTGTAATTAATGGAAGATCTAAGCCACGATTTTTATGTTCTTCTACATTAAAAGCATTGTAAAGTTATTATTGCACCTTGTTGTGACAATTTACAATCACCTTGTTTTTTTTTTGTAGAGATTGTGTGTTGGCTATTTATATTGCTGTATACAAGCCATATAAATCTATATATATATATATATATATATATATATCACAAATGATATGGTCATACATTGTGATTATTAATAATATCATCTGAACACAAGAAATGCATGAATAATCATCTTCATAAATATTACAATAACCTGATTTTAACTAATTCAACTGCCCATTATGTTGTGCAAAAAAAATCTAAATTAACCTCGATGACCACAGAATGTAGTTAAGACATATTGTGGAAACATACATTAAAATAAAAAATTGATAACGGAAATTTGAAATCTGGTGTTTGAGTGTGAACTTGCATTTCTGTCATGAATCCAAACAAACATCCATTAATCCCTAAATAATCTCAATTACTTCTACTTCTTTTGTTAGTACATATGTCTTGTATTTTTCATTTTCCAAATTTTAGAGCTTAATCCATAAAATGAGCTTCTGAATTTTACCAGTGTATCTCATCTTTCTTTTCTTCAACATTTTTATTCCATTGCAAATATAAAAAACCATAACAAGTACACACAAGTAAAATTGTTTGGGAAATTGAGTGTATATTGGAACATATAGACTATCATGGATCTTTTTCTTTCAAAATGACGTATATGTATATATATGTTTATATAATTTGTAAATTTCATTTTGACAAAAAATACCTCTAGGCTTTATATTATAAAATTAAAAGAGTCAAATTCTATATATATCAAAAAAATCTTGTATAGTTATTGAAAGATAATTATATATATATATATATAGATATATAAACATGTAAACCCAGTTGCAATTTAGAACCTCGTACAATGGTTTACCTTTCTTTAGAATTTAGAATTTAGTTTATTGGCATTTATTTGTATTCAAAAATCTGCTTTGCAGTTCTCAAAAAGTAGATACATGATGTTTTACAAATAGTTTGATTATTCTGTGTATAACAATAAGCATCACGCTCTTATGTTTAGTTCTATATATATGACCACAGAAAAATATTAGATTAATTTTAAGCTTTATATGTTCATGAGTTTGATTTACTTTAAAGGTAAAGACATCTCAATTACATCAAATGAACTATTTATGATTATAATTGTTCATTAAAAAAATGTATCTTATTTTATATATTTGAACTTCCACAATCTTTCCCACACGAATTCTTTCTTCTCTTATCACTCCAAATTTATATTTGAGTTCAATCCACTTACTTTCATTTACCCATGCACAAACTCAAACAAATATCAATTACCAAGGAACATTAAAAATAGCAGTATAACAATCAAAAACCAAATTCTAATTGAGCATATCAATTCATGCTTCTGATTCTACTAATATTTATACAATTCACAAAATATATATATATCTATCTATATATATATATATATATATATATCTCTCTCTCTATATATATATATATCTCTCTCTATATATATATATATATATATCTCTCTCTCTCTCTCTATATATATATATCTCAATATATATATATATATATATATCTCTATATATATATATGCAAATGAAGTACTGGAAAACCTTTCTGGAAATATTAAATACCCCCCTCCCAGTGTAGCAATCATTGATTGTGTGTGTGTGCATAAATACAGATATATTTATATCTATATATGTTTTTGATTCTGTAACCAATATGATTGTAACAAGTAAAGTTTTAATAAAAATTCCACGAAAGTGGTCTAATAGCTTGTAGAAAACCAGTTCACATTAATATTATACATACAAACAGATGTACACACAAATAAATGCAAAATGATAGAATGATAAAAGCGGAGCCATTATGAGAGAGGGAGAGTGAATTCAAATACCCTTCATAAAAGCAAAGCTTGACTTACGCAAAGCGCCTTCAATTGCAACCACGATTTCAATTCCCCAACTTAATCCCTCTTCCAGGCCCATCACAGGAGCCCGGGCAGCTTCTGCAATTTTTGAGTTGCATCCTGGGCAGGCGGTCAACTCGCAGTACTCGGGCAGCAGTAAACGGGCAGCATGCACGGGTGAAGGACCCCAGGAGGAGAGACCCCCCCGGACGCGGTTATAGACCTGAGTCCTATTCCCGTGCCTGGGAACAGTGACAATGAGAAAAGGGCCATCTCACTGCCGCCACACACGAGGCAAGGGACTTCAAATACTCCCCCGCTTTCTCGCAGTTGCAGCATCATCTCCAGCTTCAAATCCCCCACCCCCCCCCCCTCCCTTCCCTCTCACACACCTGAAGTCACTCTCCATCAACTCCATTCATTACCGGAGGCAGCAATTCAATAATATTCCCCTTATTTATTTTTGAAAAAAGCAAAAAAAGAAAAAAAGAAAAAAAGAAAAAAATCTGAAAAGAAAGAGAAAAAGGTCTTACTTTGTGTAATTTTGCTTCCGGCACTGGCATTGTTTGATTTGAGATGATGATGAAGATGGTGATAAGCTCAGGACTGACTTAGATCCCGCCTCGGATGGGGCTCCTGGCCATGAAGGGGGGGGGGGGGTGCTGAGTTTAATTATTAATTATTAATTTATGTTTTTTATTTTATTTTTACCCTGGTGTGTGTGCCCATTGTGAGGGAAGGGGAAGGGGTGGGGTCTCAGTTGGGACGCTGGACAGAGCCTGCCAGCAGCAGCTCTCTCGCTCGTTCTGGAGTGTTTTTTCTGGTTGCTGGTCGTGTGCGTGTTCTGAGGTGGTTGTGGGTTTTGCGTTGGCTGGGTAACAGTTTGAGTTCAGGGGTGCAGAGGCTTTGTACTGTAGGTTCCAGAGAGGGGGAGTGGAGTTTGGTGAACTGCACAATTAGGGGAGTTTGTATTACACAACCTTGGCTACACTAGGAGGAGGAGAGGGTGTGTGAGAGAGAGAGAGAGTTAGCTGGTTTGCAGCACACTGGCTTTGCACCACTTTGATTGCTCTGCATGTATCAGTTTGAGAGAAACAAAGACATCTGTTGCAGGGGCGAGGTTGTCATTGAGTTGCGTGCCGGTCTCGTGTCGTCTCGGGTGCTTCAAAAACGCGCATCGTTTCGTTTTGTATCAGCGCGGCGCCGTCAATGAGGAGGATTTTTTTATGAGTTGAAGAGCTGCTGGACATGGTTGTCTTTCTTCTCTAGCTTGTAAGTCGCGGTCTCCTGTTTGATTGAGATCATAAGGAAAGGTCCACTTAACCAGCTCATCTACTTATGACCGGGAGCTCCCCCGTTCTCTTTCATCCTGGGTCTGACCTGGAAATTTCGGAGAGGATCAGTGCGATAGCATTGGTTTTGAGGCGTTAGATATAATACAAGTCTGGAAACAGTTTACCTTCATTGCTTCATTTGGATATAGTTTTCTCTGAGTATCTGCTAGTTCAGGATCACAGAGGGTGCATTGTCCCCAGAATGAAAGAACCAAGACAACACAAGAAATAACACTGGAATGGACTAAAATTCGTTAGAGTCCCTTGAAATACGACCTTGCGGCATATCATACTTTATTCAGCAACAAGATAGTAATCCATGTGGCTATCAAACTGTTCATTTCGTTTGTTGATCATCTGTGCTGAAGTAAAAGAATTTCCACGATTTTCACAGTATGAAACGTGTTCTCACTGAAACAAGAGCCTTTGTATGTCGTGTACAGGAGCTTCAAAGGCAAAGGTGATTACCTGAAAGAGAGGAAGGGAGCATCATGGGAGCATCCAAGAAATTTTTCAAGACGCTGGCCACCATGAAACGAATGGTGAAGCCGAGCTTAGTAGACAAGGAGGATACGGTGAGTTGTGAATCTTCATAGCTTTGCTTGTCATATGTGCAGTTGAAAGTTGCAGTGCAGGACGAACTGCCAATATTAAACCTGTGGTACACTTTCCATAAAATGAACCGACACGATTTGGCTCTAAACATGCAGAGTTGTGGAGATTCAAATTGTTTTGACAATCTGCAGAAAAATAACAGTAGCGAGAAACAGCGACGGTGGGTGCCTTGGAAGACAAGTGTGGAAAGTAACAGACCAAAGGAGTACGATTGCAAAGACATGAAGCGAACAAAGAAAAAATTAGCGGACTTGATGAAGAAAGTGGACAACTACCTCCTTAGCTCCACAAATCAGCGGCAAATAAGTCTCGAAAACTGGGCAGCTCTTCGCATCCAGACCGCGTTTCGGGGATTCCTGGTATACATAGTTGAGACAGTTTAAATTCTCCTGAGCTGGTGCATACACATACAAGCTCGTTCAAACATGCACTGTGCAAGCCAGAATAGCATTTAACTCATGTGGTTGACATCTTGCAGGCTCGAAGGGCGTTGCGAGCTCTGAAAGGGCTGGTGAGGCTTCAAGCATTAGTCCGAGGCCATACTGTTCGCCGTCAAGCGGCCATCACTCTGAGATGCATGCAAGCTCTGGTGCGAGTACAAGCTCGAATTCGAGCTCGTCGAGTAAGGATGTCCCAACAAGGTCAAGCTGTGCAACGCACCATTATTGAGCGCAGGTGTCGTGAAGCAATGCTCCGAGAATCTGAGGTACAATTCAAACCCCACATCGACTTTTAGCAACCTTGGTCTTGCAAACGCGGAGCAGTAAACGAATCATCATACAATTGTAGCTATTGGGGTTTCGCAATGAATGAGAAAGAATCATTTCAAATAAGTAAATACAGAGAGAATATGCCGGAGGGAAGATTAGGACATGGGAGTTCATTGACCTTTCCTACTTTTTGACCATTCAACTTCGAAACCAGTAATGTGTATTTCAAAAATAAACATTAAATGTACACCAGTCTCAAGTGTCTAGGCTAAATCGACTTCTGTTCTGGCAGCGTGGTTGGTGTGCACACTCTGGGACGTTGGAAGACTTGCAAGCCAAAATGCAGCAGAAGCAAGAAGGAGTGATCAGACGTGAGCGTGCATTAGCTTATGCAAGCAGATATCAAGTGAGCATTCTGTTCTTATGTAATCCTGTCACATCAAAGTATTATTTCCTTCTCTGATACTCTGTGCCCATTTTAGAAATGGTCAAGACACTATAGTGTGTAACTGAACAGTCAAGTGGATAAGAGCAACCTCTCTTAAATTTTCAATTTTTTTTTAACGTTTCCAAGCAAAACTCAATTCATGAATGACTTGGCTGCAGTGGAGAGTCCCAGAACTTGGACGTTCAAAACACGGATACTACTTCGACCAAGCCACGCCAGACAATCAACACTGGGGCTGGAGCTGGTTGGAACGGTGGATGTCAGCACGCCCTTGGGAGAATCGCATGCTTGACAACGAAAGCTTCAGGAGAAAACCACACTTCCTTCACGAGACCGAAAGCAGCGTCGTTGACAGTACAAGTACCCCGCCCGCAGCATCAAAAAGCACGAAAATGGTTAGTCCGAAAGCACCAAGCAGTATACTGGGCAGCATTATGGGCAGTATACGGGATTACAACAGCATTTCCGGAAGTATACGCACCTCACCAACTAGATCCCGGGGAAGCCAATCCTTCCATCTTCCCTCCACCACAGGAAGCGAGAAGCAGGTATGGCTGTGCAGTCACCCAATTCTGTCAAATGAAAACCGTCTTCATTTCAAAAGGAATCAAATTGTAAACTGCAAAGAAGTTATCACCACTCTATCATCAACACTCAATCATCACCACTCACGTTTACTTTGAACACTTATCAACCAATTTGAGAGGAAGGGTTGAGATATTTAGCGCCTTGACGGAAACGTCTTGTCTTCCTGCGCAGTATCAGCGTGATTATATGGCACTCCCAATCTACTTCGACTACCCATCATCGAATATGCCGTCAGCTCCACGACTACACCACGACCGACCTGCACTCGCACCAGTAGACACCAACGTCCTCACCCCGGGACCAATGAAGAGCTACATGGCGGCCACCAAGTCCGCCAATGCCAAGGCCAAGGCCAAGTCAAGGTCGCAGAGCACACCCAAGCAAAGACCAACCTCGTCTTTACTCTCAGACGACACTCCACTGAACAGGAAGCGCTTGTCGCTCCCTGTCAAGGCCACTCCGGGTGCAACAGTCAGCCCAGCTTCCAAGTTTCCACCAGCCCCCAGAGATTTCACCATCAGTCCACCAACTCTCAAGCGGGAGGGATCCATGCACGCTGTTGCAGCAGTGGGTCGCTACGAGCGGCCATCGTCTCGAAGTGGAGAGCTGTGCATGGTGGGCAGTTACGGCGATCTGCGCCGGCCATTCAGGTAATTACCATTGTTTCTCAGCATCACCAGCAACAACTGATTCTTACTCTCTTCATAACAATCGTTGAAAGAAGATTAACTCAACATGGTTTTGTCACTTGGGTCATGGATCATTGACTCCACTGAAACGCTGTCTGATCACACTGCAAGTCTCGGAAACCAGAGAGACTGCAGTGTGGGCTCAGAGATGAAGCTTACAGGGGACTTTTGCACTACCATGAGTGTATATTCGATGCCGAGGCAAACTCACAAGCTGTGAAAACTGTATGCTAGAAGGCAATGTTGTGGTACTAGGCTAGAAGAGGTGATGTAACATATATGCCTGTAAGCATGGGCAAGGTGCTAATATATATATTTATATGTTACTGTTCACCCATGAACGTACGTTGTACCTATGTTTCATGGTTTTTTATTGTATCTTAAATGTTGAGGTTTGAGATAAATAAGCAAAAAGGATCAATCTTTGCATTCTGCATAAACATATTGGTTTTATTCTCCTTTTTTTTTTTTTTTTTTTTTTTTTGGTTCTTTTACTGTTTTGTGAATTCTGTAAATGAAAGTTTTGTTTAGGAGCGTGGCAATTGAGATTTATCATAATATAAAGCTGAAATACTATTTTTTTTACAAAACAAATCAATAGATTTTAAAATCTTTTAAAAAAAAACTTGCATTGTCTAAGATATTTCAAAGATGAAATTAAAACACTATTGAATTAACTATTACACAATTGCATCATAAAAATGACAAGCACACTTTGACTATATTTTAATATTAATGTTTAATAATCTTAATTTTTTTGATTTTTTAAATAATTAACTTATTAATAAGTAATAAAGATGCTTCTATGTATTTTTATTGTAATCCTTATTGATACTATTTCAAACATCATTACTTTAGAATGATCATACTTATATTATTATTTTTTTAGATTGACATCTAATTGATTCTAATATTTTTTATAATAGATATATATTATTATATTTATTTATAATTATCTATTAGATTAGATTATATTATATTTAAAAAAATATAAAAATTATCCACCTACTTATTAAATTCATCCACCATATTGTAACCATCATTAGAAAAATGAATCATCTCTAAAAACTATCATTAGAATCTCAATCCTTCCTGTTTCCTACTTTGGCTCCTTCCATTTACAACTTTCATCCTGACCTCTCCAATTCCATCTACTCTTAATTCACAACCCAACTTTCTTTGGACTTGCACCTTCAATGAATATTGCAAATGTAATTTGATCTATACACTAGAAGTTGCTCTAAAGACAAATACATCCTATAGCAAAGTTCTCAAAGATATATTACTATTGCTAGTAGAAGATATTATCATTATTAATAGTGCTAGATGGAGAATTATGAGTTGAAAATTATTTAATAAATATAAAGGATTATTTTAATATCTTTAATATTTATTAATTTTTATATTATATATTTATTATATATATGATATTAAATTATAAAAGTATTTTGAAACGGAAGTGAGTCTATCTCAAAAGAATTCAAGACCCTTCAAATTTACACCAACATAAAGCCTCATCTCAAAGTAGGATAAAATAGACCAGAACAAAACGAAACAAAACTAAACAAAACTAGTCAAAATAGGACACAAACGACAAAATTGAGCAAATGGAAATAGAATAGAACTAAACTGAATAAAAAGATGCAAAATCAAATTTTACTAAGAAAAAGGATCTAAAGCCATACCTAATTAGATGCCTCAAAAGGCCCTAGTTAGTCATATTTATACTTTGTTTTACTACCTTTGACTTCCTAGAATGTTCTTATATGATGGACCCTACTTAGATAACTGCCTTAAATTCCTTCTAGAAGGTTCTATGATAGACTCCACTTAGATAACCGCCCTAAGCCTTTTCTAAAAGGTTCCATGGTAGCCTCCACTTAAATAACTACTCTAAACTCTTTCTAGAATGTTCTACGATGGATTCCATCTAATCCACTAACTTAATTCCAATTCTAGAAACTTCCATGGTTCTAACTATCTATTTTTATGTGTCAATAATAAAAATAACTTATTTATACCATGTTATAGTTAATCTCTCTTCACTAATGTGGAACATGTTCATTTTGCTCCTGATAGTATCTCCAAATTGTCTCTTGGCGATAGATGAGGTTTTATGCAGGTTCCCACATTGCATCATGGATGGAATAACCTTTCCAAAGAACTTTGTATTGAAGTTGTCGACATCCACTACCATGATGAAGGTAGAGATGCTCCAAAATATTGTCCACTTCATATTCTTATTGATCATCAACTACAATTGGTGGTAGTAGTGGTTGGTGTAGATGCGAAAAGTGCTTTGGCTTCGTATGAAATTCTTTCAGTTGTAAAACATGGAAGATTGGATGGAGTTGAATATGTGGCAAAAGCCCAAGGCGATATGCAACATCAAAAATCATTATAGAAATGCAAAGAAGTACAAGCCACCAAGGTACTAATTTATAGATTTGAGTTGATGTAACAAGTAGCAAATTAGCATTGGAGAGTAACACTTGATCACTCTCTCGAAAGGTCTCGTGTTGTTGGTGGTTATCTGCATACTACTACTTTCAATTCTATGTGGTAAGAAGATGTTGCTGTGTCTCTTGTAAGTCGTTGTATAAATTCCTTTGTTGTTAGATTCTTGGTGTCAACATGATGATGGAAAATTGATGGCATAATCAAATGATAATTGGTATTAAGAAAAAATAGTAAATGACTAGTACTTATTTAAATACTATTATTATTAGCAAAGTCTAAAGGCATCAAGTATTTATCCTAATCATTATAATGAACCACCACAAATACTTGCAGCATATCTTTTAAGGTCTGATTTACATGCTTTATATGTCCATCTGTTTGGAGATGGAAGGCTATAGATATGGCAAGTCATGTGCCTAGTAGCTTGAAGAAGACTTGCCAAAAACTTCTCATGAAGCATAGATCTCAATTTGAAATGATGATACAAGGTAATTCCTAGTCATAAAAGATAATATCAAAGAAGACTTGTGCAAGCATTGGGGCATCAATATCCGAGTGCACCATGGCCAAATAAAGTTGCTTAGAGAATTGATCCACAAAGGCTACAACTGCAATATGATTATGAGGCCTTTGTAGCAAACACACAATGAGATCCATAGTCACCTGCTCCCAAAGTACTGTAGATAGCAAAATTGGCTGTAATAATCCAAGAGGTACTATGTTACATACTTTATTGTATTGACATGACTTACAAGAGTGTACAAAAGCTCAAACATCATGATTCAAACCTGCCCAAAATCATGTCCTTGAGATTCATTGTAGAGTCTTTTCTTGCCTCAGATATCCAGATATTGCGATGTCATATCCTTCTTGAAATATACCCATTTGGAGTATAGCATTGTTAAGTACATAAATATGCTTTTTAAAATAGAGCAAGTCATCACTAAAACTACAATATTAATACTGTATATCATCTACCTTCAACCAATTGTTAACCATCTTGAAATAAACATCTCAATATATAGCTTCTTTCCATTCTACTTCTTTGGTTAGATTTGAAATGACACTACTAATGGTAGTAACTTCTATCTTGTCTCTCAATTTGTCTTTTAAGTCCGGTCTCCGTGATAAGCTATTTGATACAGTATGTTGTTGTCCTTGCTTGTACTTAAGCTAGATATCAAAAAACTGCAACTGTTTTTCCCAACAATAAAGTCGTGATTTCATATTTTTCAAATGCAAATCATATAATAAGAGTCAATGGTCAGTCCAAACAACCACTGGCTTCTCCAACAAATAGTGTTGCTACACCTTTGTGATATGTACAATTGCTAATTGTTCTTGATCATGTGTAGAGTAATTGTGCTTTCTCTTTTGAGCTTACTTGATTCATATGGCACAAATTAAAGGCCCCTACCAAAATCTTGTTGAAGGACCATTCTAATAGCAAAGTTGGAAGCATCAATATCAAGCATACAAAGAAGATTGGGATCATACGGTTGCAATATTGGAGCAGTAATGAATGCATCTTTCAACCTATCAAAGATGCTTTACTCTTCTAATTTCCATTCAAATGGGGCACCCTTCTCCAATAAGTTTATCAAAGAGGTAGCAATGTGTGCAAATCACTAAATAAAATGGCGATAATATCCACCAAGGCCTAAAAATAAGTAAAATTTAGAAGCATCCTTGGAGGTTGGCCAATCCTCTATTGCTTTCACCTTATCTTGTTCCACATGCACGCCTTCAAAGGATCCCACATGTCTCAAAAAAGTGACTTTTGACTTCCAAAGTTTACATTTTGATTGCTTGCAATAGAAGTGACTATTTTATAATTGATGTAATACTTTTTGTAGGTGTTGCTCATGCCGTTTAGAGATTTTACTATATTCAAAGATATCATCAATGAAGATGATAATATACTTGTTTATAGGTCCCAAAACAATCTATTCATGTGATCCATATAGACTGCTAGAGCATTATTAAGGCCAAAATATAAAAACAACCATTCAAAATATCCATAGCATGTACAAAATGTCATCTTTTCTACATCCTCACTTACAATAGGTGTTTACCAATAACTGCTCTAAAGATCCAATTTACTAAAGATAATCGCACTTCAAAGTTGGTCAAGAAGATCATCTATGCATAGAAGTGGATATGCATTTTTAATAGTCTACTTATTGAGGCATTAATAGTTGATCTAAAGATAAAGTCCACCATCCTTCTTGGATGCAAAGAGTACATGTGCTCTTCATAGTGATGTGCTTTTTTGAATGAAGCCTTTCTCTAAGAGTTCGTCCAATGAATTCCACAGCTCTTCAAGTTCTTTTGGTGCTAAGTGATAAATTCATTGACTTACTAGTTTGGCCCCAGGCAATAATTCTATTTGAAAAGAGGCACCTCGATCAAGAGGCATGCTACTAGATAGGTCAGTTAGAAAGACATTTTAATATCTCCGTATAAATTGATCTACCCATTCTACTCTTTTGGTTGTCTTTCCTACTACTAATGTAAGATTTGGAACCACCATATATATATATTGATTGCTTATATTATATTTGCTTCTTCATAAAGGTCATCCCTACAAGTAAATCTTTGATTGCACATTTTCTTTCTTCTTCACTTGATGTAGATGTGTGAAGAGTCACCTTGTGTCTACCATCTTTAAAAGAGATTGTCCTTACTATCTAATCAACTTTCTTGTTTTCCATCTCTAGCCATGGCATACTAAGGATAACAACATATCTTAGTTTTGTCACCTTGAATTTATCTCTTAAGACGTATGTGTCAATCAACCTCACGGTTTTTTCTTTACATGTCTCATTCAATATGTTCTCTTGATCGTCTATAAGATATATACTTCTTCTCTTGATTGCTTTAATTTTAATTTTAAGTCAGTCGGTGATTTTAATTCAGATGTAATTTTTTTGTAGAACCACAGTCTACAAGCACTTGACATGGTTGTCCTCTTAGTAGTCCTGTTAGATGTATCAGTCGACTCTTTTTATAGTTTTTTGAGGCCATGTCATTTGTTTCTAAGAGACAGTAGCTATTCCTAATATTAGCCCTCAATGCTTTTACTAAAGAGCCTCATTTTCCTACTCTGTCTTATTATTGATTTGGTGAGTTTCAAGATTGTAAATCCACCTTGTTTTGTTGGTGTTTAAATTTTGATGTTTTGAACAACCTTCGATCTAATGGCCTGGCTCCCAATAATAAAAATATAATCACTTTTGTACCAATATTTGTCGTTTTTGTCTTGTTAATGATCCTTGTAGGGCATCAATCTCCATTGGTGTTGGTTGTTGTACCATAGTATTAGGAGACATAATCTTGTACTAACCTAGATTGTATAAGATTTGCCAACTGATTGCATACTATCCTCTCTGTATTGATGGGCCAAAATTGATTCCTAAACTTAGTCTCAAATTCCTCACAATTACAAAATCCACCTTGAGCTCCATAACTTTGAACTCCATGTCGCCACCAAATAGCTATCATATCTATCAAATAACTAGCTACATATATAATTCCTTTAGTAGTATTTGTCCCAGATAGTTAGAAGTATTGTTGCATGTTGAAGAACCATTGACATGTATCTTCTTGTCTTGAAGCTCTAGAGTATGTATTAGACTTAGTCAATTTCAACCTAGCAGATATTGACTCCCTTCTCCTCGAGGCTTCTATTTGTCCTTACAAAGTAGCTATCTAATCTAAGAAGCGCCATATTTGAGCATCTATCTAGGATTGCTCTGCCATATCTTCCATGATGTAATTTCTTTGCTAGACTCCACTAGTGTAATGTCTTTTCACCTTCTAGTTGATTTTTTAAGAGTAGGTCATGGTAGCCTCAATACAATATCCAATGTGACCATAATAATTGATCTTGGACTAGATGATGACTATCGACACACTACCAAAAAAATAGTCTAATACTTACTTTGATATCAATGAAACATGACTTGTCTATCTTAAAAAAAATCCAAGATCCTTCAAATCTATAGCAACATAAAGCTTCATCACAAAGTATGACAAAATAGACGAGAACAAAACTAAACAGAACTAAACAGAACTAAATAGAACTAATTAGAATAGGACACAAAAGATAAAACTAAGCAAACAAAAATAGAATAGAACTAAACTAAATAGAAGGATGCAAAACCAAATTTTGCAAAGATAAAAAGATCTAAAGCCATATCTAACTAGATGCCTCAAAAGGCCTTAGCTAGTTATATTTATACTTTGTTCTACTACCCTGGACTTTCTAGAATGTTCCTACATTATGGACTCCACTTAGATAATTGCCTCAAATTCCTTCTAGAAGGTTCTATGATGGACTCCACCTAAATAACCGCCCTAAGCCTTTTTAAAAGGTTCCATGGTGGACTCCACTTAAATAACTACCTTAAATTCTTTCTAGAATGTTCCATGGTAGATCCTACCTAGTCTACTAATCTAATTCTAATTTTAGAAACTTCCATGGTTCTAACTATCTATCCTTATGTGTCAATAATATAAATATCTTATCTATACCCTATTACATATTTGGTTCTTAAGCTCATCCATTAATTTATTTAAGACTAAAAATATATATTTTTTAATATAAACTTGATTATTCTTTATAATATTACTATTCAATTACTTATTGATTCCAAAAAATCTATAGTTATCTTTTGGATCTAAATAATAAAGTAAAAAAATTATTTTATTAAGAATATTAATACCAAATAAAAGCTTTTTATAGAATACTAATATGCTAAGATATTATATTAATCTATTAGTATAGAATAAGTCATAGCAGGCATAACTTTAAAACTTATTGTATACTTGTATAATTTTATAAGAAAGAAAAAAAAATGATTTAATTTTATTTTTTCTTCAAAATTAAAAATCTTTTTTTTGAAACATCTTTGCATTTAAAAAAACATATATATTTTTCTTCTATTGCAATATTTAATTATAGAATTCTTTAAATAAATAAAATAAAAATAAAATAAAACCTCTCAAATTATGAAAAAAATTATTTAATTTATCTTATATTTAAAACCATTGAATAATTTTTTAATTATTTAAAATATTTTTTCATTTAAAAATTTTATATTTCAATGTAATTTAGTTTAATATAATAAAAAATATTTTAAAAAAACTTGGTTATCTTAAAATATTTTTATCATATTAATATATCTAGTTATTAAATTATTTTTAATCTATAAAACTATATTTTTTTTTCTAAATAAATTTTTATTATAAAATTATTATCTATTTATTAAAATAACTAAATTTATCAATGTATTACAAGTCTTAAATGCTACTTCAAGTTTTTTTTTTTCTTTTTTTTTTCTTTTAGCATTAAAAATAACATAAAATAAAATAAAGATTACAATATTTATTTGTATTAAATAAATTTAATACATTTATTAACTATAATAATATTTTAAAATGTTGTTTTAAGAAGATAAATAATTTTATTTAAGGTAATATTATATTTTAAAAAAAACAATAATTACAACTTTCATTTCAAAAAAATTAAATTCTTCATTCATGTTATTCATAATTATTTTAATTATAATCATTTATATACATATAAACTAAATATATATTAATTTTTCTCGGACTTATGATAATGTTATTTGTAATGTTTTTAGAGTTTTTTTAGCAACATAGTTTAGTTGTAACTTATAAATTATACATAAGTACGATGAGGAGATTAAAAAATAAATAGGATTCAAATACTATTTAAAAAAAAAAAACTCAATTATAGACAATAACACTAAGTCTTAATTAACATAAATAACACTTTCTTCTATTTAACCTAAGATTTAAAAGTACTATATATCAAATTCTACTAGATTCTATTTATGATATTTTACAAAGACAATAATTTTTTTTCCTTAAATAATCTATTTAAAAGGAAGTTTTTAATATAAAGTCTTTTATGATTAATCAATTATTTGTCAAAATTCTATAATATTTTTATATTTTTATATTTTTATAATACATATTTTAAACTATAAGAATAAATAGGACTAAAAAAATGTTAAAACTTTTAATTTTTAATTTTTGTAGAGTTGGAATATTAATTTTAAAATTTTAAAAGTTAAATATTAGATTGCTGATATCGGTTAATAATCTTTAGACATACTTTTAGTGAAAACTCATGTCTTGGTTAATATTATTGTTATCAATTCTTGTTAGGACTATTTTAAACAAAACATTATATCACTTTATAATCCCTTTTGCATTTTCTATATTCTTTTTTGAGAACCATCTGATTTTTTAAATGATAATCTTATTAATTTATCAAATACTAATTTTACTTTTAAATCTTTCTTCATAAAAGAATTACTGTGATAAAAATCCCACCTTGCATTCTAAATGTGTGGCAGTTAGTTTCAATAGTATACAAATTAGTTGCTTCTGGCTATCCACAATTTTATACTTATTAAATAATTTGGACAATAGAAAATAAAACATTTGATTCAGATTGACTTTAAATAGAAAATGAAAAAAAATCCAAATCTTCAAACAATATTTATAAATAAAAAACTCTTAAACTAAAATGAATAAAATTTTATTTATTTATACAGGTTTATAATTGTCTTTAATTTTTAACTTGATATTATTATCCATGTTGATATTTTGCTAAAATGATATATTAACTCATTTAGATTCAATCTTTTATTGAGTTTTTATTTAAGACTTCTCAACAATACTATTGTCATTGAAAAGATGAAGTTATGCCAAAAATTAAAATTAAAATTAGAATTTAAAAAAAAATAAAAATAATAATAACATTACATATCGTAAACAACTAAAATATTTATTGAAAATAATGTAGTGAATCCGAAAGAAAATAATAATAATAATAATAATAATAATTATGACAAAAAAACATGTTGAGGATTACAAAGTATTTCAACAAAAAATATGAAATGTTAAAGATCAAATAATCAAAAGCTTCACAACAAAGACCATTTCAAAGCCTGTTAGAAATGTAACATTCCCTTGTGAATTGGAGATAGGTTTTAGGGTGCAACGGACCTATGACCGTGCGCGCGCGCGAGCACGGTGCTGAGGGCAGGCAGGCACAGCGTCACTCGTGACGCGAGAGGGAGAAGAGGAGTGAGTGACGAGGGCCGCCGCGCCCTCGCCTCGATCGCTGATCTTGCACCCCCCGTTGCGTTGCGTTGCGTTCGGTTGAGGAGGAGGAGGATGGGGCGCGATGGCATCACCGGGGACATGTTCGGCAATATGAGCTTTGATAGCTCCAGTGACGACGAGTGCGCTGCTGACAAGCATGAAGCAGACGGGACGGCAGTGGATGAAGAAGGGCATGAGCGTGCGGGGGATTCCGACGCGGGCGTGCCGGCTGTGGTGAATCCTGCTCGTGACGAGGTTGGATATGAGCCCCATATCGGTCCCCCAATTCTGGTGCGCCAGATTTGTGAGCGAGGCCTGTCGTTCCAGTTGTGGCCAGCAGCCTCCGGTATGTGCGGGTACCTGGAGAATGGGTACGGCGGAGGCGGCGGCGAGAGCTTACGCGATGCGCGAGTGTTGGAGCTCGGCGCTGGCACTGGAATGGCTGGGATGATGGCTGCGCGGTTCGGTGCCCGCGTAACCCTTACTGACTTGCCGCACGTCTTGGAGAACTTGCAGTGCAACGTGGAGCTGAATTTGAAGGAGGTTGAGGCTTGTGGCGGGAGCGTTGCTGTGCAACCGCTTCGATGGGGCGTGGAAGAGGACGCTAAGAATTTTGTCTCGCCACCACCTGACCTGATTCTTGCGTCGGACTGCGTGTACTATGATACGCTCTTCGAGCCGCTCATGCAAACCTTGAAGTGGCTGTGTGGGATCGGGGAGGGGGAGAAAGAGACGCCCGGGATTGGATCTCCTGTTGTGTTGGTCGCGCATTTGCGGAGGTGGAAGAAGGACGGTCAATTTTTTCGAATGGCGGCGAAGTGCTTCAACGTGGAAGTCGTGCACAGGCATCCTCTTGTGAATTCGCGCGTGGGTGTGGTAGTTTACAAATTGACAAGGAAGATTTCCTCGCAATGATAACCAGCTTGCTCCTGACTGTAGCTCCCATTTCCTAGACTGTGTATAAGCTTGACGCACTTCCAGTTCCTTGGACCAGAAGAGAAAATGAGAACTTAGTTATCGGAGTGAAGAAAACATTCTTCATCTTAGCAATTGAGGTCACATCCCTGTGGGTGTCGTTTGCCTTCGAGTTTGTTCGAATCCGCCAAAGATACTTTAGGTTCCGAATGAAATTGACTTCTGCGGAATGTATCGCATGGCACTCACTTCACCTCGGGGCTGCAATATGTCTACATTGGTAAAGTATGAATCTCATAAATCTGTTACTTGAGGGAACAGCCGTTTGTAGCAAATTTGGGGTTTGGACTTTGGCAGTCATGGAAATTGGAAGAATCTTATGAGGGTTGAAGCATTCGACAATCTCTTATGCCTCCAATTTTATTTTGAACCATTCTAGTGATGAAGGCTTCACAAGAACTCCCATCGATTGTCCTCTTGCTGAATATGTAGTCCATTGGCGTAAACAGGTTTAAAGTTGAGGGTTTAAGGATGAAAGCAAATAGGGGTGGTTTAGTTTTATGTCTTCGGGTGTAAGAGAAACTCGGGGGCATCGGGAATGTAGGTGGATTTTAGCTCGAAGGAAACCATTTTTTTCCTAAACGCAAAAAGCAGTTTCTTCCTGGTGTCTTAGAACATGCATCAGTGTCGTTCTCTTTGTTTTGGAAGTGGAGCCAAGAAAGTGACAATAGGGTCATACATATATCTGACTACTAAATGAACGCTTGCAATCTTTATTGCCGGTTGTTGGCTAGTTGAGATGACAATAGAATCTTTTATAATTTCTTCTCATAATGAAGAAGAAACCAGTTTTGAAATATGATTTTCGGGTGATTGAGCTGGCTAACAATTGAGAAATGATTTTCTGCATTGCTAAATTTGTTGCTGAGGGGTGGGCCCCACTTCCGATTTTTCTCGAATTCTCCCTGAAACCTGCACAAACCTTTTTCAACCTGATGTAACCGCAAGAGAATGTGCAGGGCTTCAAAACGCTTGTCGGACGTGTTGAATAGAAAAATAACAAAGAGGAATTTGTTGGTTGTTGCAAGTGTCATCAGGGACGAGAGGATCTGAAGTGTAGTCTCTCTAACCGGAGATGGTTAGCTTCGGGAGGCAACAGCGCTGGTAAAGATACAGTGCATGGGTCGAGATACTCTCACACACGTCATTGGGTTTCCTCCTCGGTGGTTCTTCTGAGAACGACGATCGAGGAATGTTGCGAGGGCAGTTGCATGTCGCATGGGTAGGGCTCATGTGACGTATGAAACCTCAACAGGGCAGACTGTTTTTATCTGGCGAATCCCTCCGCCACATTTCGTGCTCGCCCGTCGCCAGCCTTACGCGGCGATACAAACCTCCTTGTGATTCGTTACTACTGTCTATTGGGTTCACTGTGAAAAGGTATTTTTCCTCTTTGTGATCCATCTCGGAAATGATGAAATTTTTGTAGTGCAACCTTTGACAAGCTACAGCACTGTGCGAGAAATTGAGTCTTATTACGAATGCACTCCGGTAGTTAGTGAAGGACGACAACAGACGGCTTCATGCTTCGGAATACTGTTGATTATCTTCCTTGATTTTTGCATTCTAGTGGTTGTGACGGCCAGTTTCTTGATCTGAGATGCTCAACGTTCTAGTAAGTCCACAAAACTACTCAAGTGGTTTGATTTCGTGTTCGCAATTGTGGGATATCTTTTCGTTTGGTGCTCGTGCATTGAAATTTTAGCGACTTTTGCTTCTCGATTGTTGAACGACCTTTTTTCAGGGTCCGAATTTGCAATTTCTGCTGTGACGCTATTGTCACTTCCGGTGCATGTTGTTGAACATGTTTTTTATTTTTATTTTTTGTGTCTTTAGGAGGAGCGTATTGGTAGCAACGTACTTGCATTGCAGATGTCACGAATTTTTCATACAGATCTATGGAAAAGGTGGCACTAAGATTGCGGAATTGAAAATGGTTGCGACACGGAGGAGAGAATCAGAATGAGAACAGGCACTCTAAGGCGAAACGTGCAGCACCTTAGCAGGGCATTCACGGCTAGCCGTTTTTCTTCTGTAAGCTACGAAGCCAACTTGAGAAGTGTGACCTTTCTTGCATGGAGCAAGCTCGTGGAACAGTTATGGAAATCCAGCACAATTTTAGGGCAGGGGATAGGCCAAGGCACTTGCTCTCCTGCTGGAGATATCCGTGTGAGCTTCAAAAGAGGACGTGCCAGATACTTTTGCATCGTGTCTGGCCGAGTATTTGAGGGTCAATCTACTGTCCCCACGTCAAATTCTGCTTATGCTGGTGCAATCAGTCGGAGACTGTGCTCCTTGAGTAACAACCAGTATTCGAAGCTATGTTTTGAACTGATCCCTGGTAGTACACAAGTTTCGAATCCTTCTAGCGGCGGGTCCGTCCGTTGGGACATTTCAGAAATGATGATTCCTTCCACTCTTCCTAGCCAAGGAAAGTCAGCCGATCGAAACAGTGTACCACCAGAAAGGGAAGGGGAAGTTGATGTGGGCGAAGAGAGGATCAGGGTTACAAAAGTCAGGAAAAAGAAAGATGACAATAAGATGAGAATAGACGACGGAGGGATTGAATGGGGTCAGCAACATGCTCGGGTTCGGGAGAATGAAACGCGTCAACGGGAAGGTCTTTCGGCTAGTCCTCCCCTTAAACTTCAAAAAGATGATGTCTACATCCCTGTGAAGGCTTGCTACATCTCCAGAAGGTGAATGTGCTTATTCATTATGTGCTGAGACAGTACAACGTGCCACGCTCATCATCCCAAGATGTCAAATGAAGTGATTAAACATGTATGATATGGTAAGGATTTGCAGAAATAAGTTGCTCAAAAGAAAGGTTCATGGTGGCCTTTCAATATGGATCTATAGTCTTCTTCAATTTTGGTGATGATGAAGAAGTGGAGACATTGACTGCGGTACGCAAATTCTGCACTGACGAGTTCCGAGAGACGAGAAAAGACGGTATTAGCTTCACTTGCCATAGCCTCTATTCAGCCCATAGCTCGTACGTTCCAGTTGGTTACCAAGTGGTAAATGTTTGCAGGGAGTAAAGTTGGCTGAAATAAAGTTTTTCTTTAGTCTTTTAAATGGGGCAGTGGCATACTGAAGTTAACACACCCACATGTACACACGTAGTGGAAGAGATTCGTATCATTGATGTAATGCGAATTGTTCTTTTTTAAATACTCAGATTACGGGGTGCTAGTGAGACCAACCCTACCTGAGTGGAGCGAGGGTGGGCAAGACCGAATCACTCTCCGAATGATTGACACAGACAACATCCGAGTGATCTCTAGCATTCTCGGTCAAAGCATTGCGCTCGATCACTACGCCAAGAAGGTTCTTGTGCCATCCCTGACTCAATACTCGGAAATGTAGCAGTTGTATTCCAATGTCCTCTTCGTGTAGGTTCCCTTACTAGCATAGGTTATTTCGTTGAAGCAAGGTGCAATATCGGGCTTCAAACTCACTCGGAATTCGTGCGTAATCACACATAAAACGTAATGGGAACATTGTTGCGGGATGCAGGTGGATGAGATGGTCAACACATTCAGCGAGCTAAATCAAGGAATGGAGAAGTCTGGCACGTTCACAATGACTCGGAAAAGCCTGTTTCAGCTTGTGGCGGCTGCCAACACCACCCTCGCAGACGTTATTCTTCGCTTGGGCCTCCTGGAGAGGTCTTTCTTCTCCACAAACTCCTGTCTGTTTTGTCTTCAATGCCTTTTCATGGAAACAAAGTGCAGCATGATTTAAACTCCCTCTTACCCTGACATGACATACTAGCCTAAACGTAGTATTATTTGGGCTCCTGTATGAGAATGGTATTTGGTCCTACATGATAATGCAGTTTCTACTGAAAAGCAGACCTCTGCATTGTACTCTGTTAGGTTTCAACTTTTAATTGGGAGCCTCCGGTAACACGTACTCAACATTCTCACAGGTCAGATGCTGCATGGAAAGATGCAAACTATGCTCAGATTTGGGAGTACTTGCGGGACGATTTTGAGCTTGATGAGCGGTTTGAAAGTTTGGACTTCAAGCTTAATGTTATACAGGTAAAATCTTGTCCATGTGTTTTTGTGGAATCCTCCTATCTGCAGTTATACACTGATTGATTATCCTCCTTTCAGGGGTTTGTGGCAAAATACCAACTTTCGGTTACGCATAACGAGCTGATGTCCATGCCGAAGCATGTGTTTGTGTGGATGTTGTTTCCAGCACAATTTGCGATTCTTCTTGGAGATTCTACAAAACAAGAAGTCAGACACGCTTTAGTGGATCATCATTCTTCTCATAACAGGAGAGATATGCGTTGGTGTTTATCAGATCCTTTTGGAGACCAGTGTTCTTTAGTTGTTTAGACTAGAATGAGCTCTTCATGAATGGGCATAGACGTATGAGGTTCTGCTTAACTCTTCTTCAATGCATCAGGAAATCCGCCACGGAGGGTTTTTGGTGAAATCAGTTGTCATTTTGTGTTCTTCTACTTTGGAAGGCTCTCTGTCATCCAAGCTTTACTAAAAGTTTGGGTTTATATTAGTGGACGACAAAGGAAGAGGATGAAGATGTGCCTAAGAGTGACTTGATAGAGAATTGGTGTGAATCAAAGATCAAGCACTAAATCCAACGAATTCAAGGACGTTTTATATTATTGTGCATGATTGTCTGGTGTTTTTTTCAATAATGATAATGGTGATAGTTTATTATTAAAATCATTAGATAATCTATTTTGTATATCTATAAATATAGGGAGATGTTAAAGCAATCTAGAATTTTACTAAATCGACCCAATTCTCCCCGTTCCTCGTTCTCAACCCCTCGTCCCAACCTCCCTGCCCCCCGTCCACGGGCCAGTTGCGGGGCAACTTAGTCGTTCAAGCCTCTGAGTCCCGCTCATGGGACGCTGCAAGTCCATGGATAACACTAGCAAATTGTATGCTGGCTTGGGGTATGCCTCTTGCCGCAAACTCTGAGTTCGGTTTTCGCAAGCTGCCAGCAGAGGCACTCGCAGAAATCCCAATTGCACGCTGATTACCACTTTCTTCAAATCTTGTTTGACCTTGTGAAGAAGATGCAACCAAGCGTGCATTCATGGTAGAACCAAACCTTTGTTGCACGGTGGGAAGAGCACCAACGAACTCTGAACAACTAGTCCATATAAGCACGGAAACATTTTTTGCACTATGGAACCTCCGCGATAGCTGTAATGCAAGTGCTGCTCGCTCAGCAACCCTGCTTGCTTCGTGATGAGTCATGACCTTCTCAGATTCGTGTATTCCACGTATTGTATCATGATCCATAGCTGACTGTTTCACATACCGATGTAGCAAAAATAACATGATGAGAGAAGTAGTGTGTATCTAGTCAGCAAACATTTAGAATCCACTTTTGATCCGACCAGCTCCAATGACTAACCGCTCATTGTATAGTAAAAATCAAAATCATGATGAAAGAGCTTCATGGCATACTTACATGAATGCCGTTCGCATCAAAAAAGTTTTTCAATCTTCTCGACTTCTCTTCTTGCAGCTCCCCATCTTCTGAGTTATGACTGTTATTCTGTTCCGGTCTGTGCTTGTTCAACGCCTCTTCTTGTGAGTCTTTATTTTTTGTCCTTCTCTGCATTCTATTACTTCTTGAGTCTTGCACACCTTACCCACGTTCTTACTCTCTTCATTCTCTAGCTGGATGCTACCATAAACTTCTGCAAAGAGGGTAGTAGTTTCTGTTGCAGCATTCTCTTTTTGCTGAGTGAAGAGATATTGCATGTCCGTTGCCTTAAAAAAGCGGCGCTGTTGTAGGGCACGGAGAATCTTATTTGTTAGAAAATGCTTGTAAATCTGCCAGTGGTAGCCTTTCTCTTCAATAGTCCCCCGAGTAATCAAACTCAGGATCCTTAGATTAGTTATTGTCAATGGAGTTGGGAATCTTGAAATGAATCATGCATGTTTATAAAATACTAAGAATTTTAGTAAGTTTTTGAAAAATATGCCACTAGTTAAGTGTTTAGTCTCTTTCTGTATGTAATTGTCGTCATCACTTTCGTCCTCATTATATATGAGTATGATTGTTGCTATTGAAGACTACCTACAACTAAGTTTTCTTCCAAGCAAAGCTCTTTTAATTCTAAGAATTAATTAAATAAATAAATAAATAAATTTTTGCATTTAATAGACAACCAACACCATCATAGCACTAAGTTCTCAATTTAAGTGTTAGGAGTAGGCTATTATGAAGAAAGTTCTACAAAAGAATTTAACACTCAACTAATTCATTCTTCAACTAATTATAAAATCAAATCCTTTATATCCTTTAAATTATTTACAAAACTTGAATGTTGCTATGACAATTCAATGAATACTATCATGGCATCAGCACATAGCAAATGACAAGTAAAAAGTAGAACCCATTTTGTAGAATATTTTTTCTATTGTTACATCATTACATAACATGGTAGAAATGCTGAATTGGAAGGTAGAAAATCATTCATTACAATAGAAGTTGGAGAAACTCAGGCACAAGAAAGTTGTAATAGAAATCCCACCTTTGAATGTTGGTTCAACATTATTTGACAATCCACTAGGTTGAAGGAGAGGGAGCTCAACCATTTTTTGGACTAATCTATAATTTATTGCAAAATGAGTTGGTTGAACTAAAGAAATATATTGATGAAAATTTAGCCAAGAATTTCATATGCCATTCAAAATCTCATATAAGAGTTCATATTTTATTCATAAAAATAAAATGATAGATGACTACTAATGTATATGGATTATTGGAGATTCAATAAGATAACCATCAAAAATAAATATCATCTACTTTTAACATTCTGACTTCTTAATCAATTGAATCAAGCTAAGATCTATATTAAAATAGATCTACGAAGAGCATATAACTTGGTATGCATCAAAAAAAGAGATATAATATGGTTACAAATGGAAGTAGATAACAAATTCTATTTGATAGCTTTCTATTCCAAAAAACTTTCTCTAATAAAAAATTAACTACAAGATTTGTAATAAAGAACTTCTTGCAATTTTGGATTTATTTTAAAAATGTTGTCATTACTTAGAAGGCACTTTTAGTGTAGTCACTTTATATACAAATTATAAGAACCTTAAGTATTTCATGGCAACATTTATTTTGAATTATTGCCAAGCCTATTAGAGCATGTACTTATCAAGCTTTGATTTCAAGATTACTTATTAAACAAGAAAATAATAAGGTTTATTAGTTGCCATTTCTAAATTTTCTTATCTTATATCAAATGAAGGAGATGCACCTTTTGATCAACAAAAAATGATTCTTTTGAAGCGAAAGCATTTTCATCTTTAAATAATGAAATCAACATTGACTATTGATTCAATTTTTTTCAAGTAAGTTCAATCAAGTATGTCCTTTGACCTTCTTATTTGTAATATTTGTAATTATTCTTGTAAGTCTTATCATACTTTTAAGTTCAATTTTAAGAATAATCTATTCTATTTCAAGAGACGCTTAAATACTTCAAATGACAAAATATAATTACATATTTTTCAAGCTTGTTATAACTTTTCTAAAACAAGATATTTTAAATACAATAAAACTTTAGAACTAATATCTAAAGATTTTTAGTAGTCTAAAATATAGAAGGCAAAAGACTTTATACAATTGTGTGATATTTATTCAAGATCAAAAATTCCTTATCATTAAATTTATGGACTTTTTTAATAATTATCTATTTTAAATAATTATTATTTTTTTATTTCTATGGATTTTATGATGGATCTTTTAATCTTAAGTTCTTATGATTTTATATTTGTGATAGTAGATCAATTCACCAAGATAATACAATTTATACCATATATAAAATCTATCACAAGTAAAGAAATGAGTAAGGTTTTCTTTAAGAATATTTATTATTATTATTATAGATTGTCCAAGGATATTATATCAAATAAGGAAATTTCATTTGTGTTAAGATTTTAGAGAATTATTTTTAAGATTTTAAAGATAGTTATATAATCATCTTTGACTTTTCATCTTCAAACAAATACACAAACATAGTATATAAATTAAGTTTTGTAATAATATTTGAGGTATACTATTAATGATTAATAAAATGATTGCATAATTCTTTTGCCATTGGTAGAGTTTTTTTATGATAACAAAGTACATTATTTTACTCAAGAAACATATTTTTTTGTTAATTATGGTTATCATCTATGACTTGATGTTCTTGATTTTTTAGAAGATAATAATGTTGCGGTAAAAGATTTGACAAATTATTTATTTGAGCTACATACAACAATAAAGACATAATTAAAAAAAACTCAAGAATGACAAAAGATCAATATAGATGCTTATTACAAAGAACAACCTCAATTATACATTAGCAATTAGATATGGTTATGTCATTGTAATATCAAGATTATTTGTCCTTATAATAAGTTGGATTGTTGTAAACCTAAGCCATTTTTTGTATGTGAAAAAATCAATTCACTTGCTTATTAATTATATCTATTGGAATCTATGAAGATCTATGTCATATTTTACATATTTTTTCTTAAATTATATAAGACATTAAATATATATTAAAAAAATATATTATTGCATCCTATAAAAAAAGATAATAATTAAAAATTTGAGGTAGAAGAAGTCTTAGATTCAAAGTAGCATCAATTAATATTAGAATATCTTGTTCATTAGTACAAATATGATATTAATAAACATACACGAAAGCCAAGAAAGAATCTTGTAAATGCAATAGAGAAGGTTAAAGCTTTTTTTCAATGACATCTATCAAAATTAAGATGAAGAATCAAACAAATCTTTGTTATTAAAGAAATATTTAATAAAGATTTCATTCCATCTTCTATTTTTTATCATAATTTCTTTGTATTAGTGGTGCTAATAAGATGAAGAACTATTAGCTAGTAGATTCAATTCAAGAGCTATTCTTTCTTGACTTACTAGACAAGATATGGTAATTATGACAGTCTTTAAGATGATATAATAGATATGAAGACCTTTAAAAATGACATGTTCTTTCTTGAATAGATGATTAGATACAATACATTTGATATCATGACCTTAGAAGAAACTCTCAATCTTTGGTGGTTTTATTGGATGTAAAAACAATTCTTAATAGTATTACAAATGTTTTATTTGAAAGAAGTTACAAAGGCCTCAACAATAAAAAAATATTAAGGAGGTCTTCCTACCTTAGAATGAAATATTATCAATGGCAAAGAGAACTTATCAATTACCTTCAAAGGCAACAAAGATCAAAGTATATAGTAAATATAATTTGTCACATCTTGGACTTTATGAATATGTAATTACTGCTCTTTGTAGAACTTGTCTTTAGAAGAATGGATAATGTTATAGACATTTATATTTATTTTAGTAGTTACTTAGATGATATGAATATATAGAAGTAGATAAAAATAGATAAATTTTATAATATCTTATAAAAAAACTTCTTAAAAGCTTTATAGACATATTTTTACTTTTATACATATTTATAGGTAATTGATAGGTTGAATATTTATCCAAAAAATTAGCCATGTATTACATGTTGTTGTATTGCAATAAAATTATATGGTAAAAATATAATCAAAAATAAAATTTTAATTAATATCTAATCATCTTGGTTCAATAATAATTCAA